CCCACAAGGCATGTTTTAAGAACTTACAGTTACGCTGGAAGGAAGATAGGAAGAAAACAGGGGAGCAGGCTAATTCCAGATGCCCAGCGGGAAGACAGGCCCTTCTCTCACATGGTTGTGATTCCCTGCTGTTGTAGTTTGGTGATGACCAGTTCAAAGATGCCAGAGAGAACTCTGGCCTGAAGCAGTGCTTCTCAAAGTGTGGTTGGTTTCTAGTGCATGCAGGGATTCTGGTTCATTGAGATAAAATCCACATGCAATTTACTATTTTTATAATTTTAAAGTGTAGAATTCAGTGACATTTACTAAATTCACAATTTTGTGCAACCATCTCCACTATCTCGTTCCAGAACATTTCATTGGCCCACAGGAAACTCCATGCCCATTAAGCAGTGACTTTCCAACACTCCCAACCCCCATGCCTGAGAACCACCAATCCGCTTTCTGTCTCTATAGATTCTGGGCATTTCACATAATGGAATCCTACAACGTGTGGCCCGTTTTGTCTTTCACTTAACACAATGTTTTCAAGTGTCATCCATATCGTAACAAATATCAGTACTTCCTTTTTATGACCAAATAATTTGTTGTACCATATTTTTCTAATCCATTCATCAGGTGGCATGCATTTTAGTTGTTTCTGCCTTTTGACTATTGTGAATAGTGCTGCTATGAATATTCATATGTAAGTTTTTGTTTGAACACTTGCTTTTAATTCTTCTGGGTAGAAAGTATAGGCATTAATCTCTGCTCACTCAAAAGGAGGTGACCAAATATCCTAAATTCTTCAACCATTCAACAAATATTTACTGAAAACCTACTCTCTAGCTGCCTAGAACGCCAAGCCCTGGGAATACAAACTGCAATGAATAAGAGGCATCATCCCTGTCCTCCGTGGGAATAACACAAAATTCAGTAAGTGAGTAAAACACAGGCTTGACAGCATTTAGGATTAGGAATTCCTTTTCCATATGCTATTAAAGGAAAGTAAAAGCTGGTCACAGAGCACCTGGGCAAGATGCTCTAACTGGATGCTTTCAGATGAAACCAGCAAACACAACTAAGCGCAGTCACGTCTGTCACCTTACATCATAAGCCTCAAGTAGGGAGGTTCCCAAGTGGGTCCAGTGGGCAGCTCCACATCATCAAGGATCTAGGCTTTCTCCATCCTTCTGCTCTGCAATCCTCCTGGCCACACTAAGGGACAGCCACCCAGGCATCATGTTCTCTCATGGAACACAGACCAAGAAACAAGTGGGGATTGGGAGTGTTGGAAAGTAACCGCTTAATGGGCATGGAGTTTCCTGTGGGCCAATGAAATGTTGTGGAACGAGATAGTGGAGATGGTTGTACGAAATTGTGAATTTAGTAAATGTCACTGAATTGTACACTTTTAAATTGTAAAAACAGTAAATTGCATGTGTATTTTATCTCTATGAACCAGAATCCCTGCATGCACTAGAAACCAACCACACTTTGAGAAGCACTGCATCAGGCCAGAGTTCTCTCTGGCATCTTTGAACTGGTCATCACCAAACTACAACACCAAGATCCCTTCTCAACCCCTTCTTAGGTGCAAGAGAAGCTTTCCCAGAATACTTCTCAGATCTGTTCTGCCCAAGTTGTCCCACAGCCTATTCCTAAGCCAGTTACTGAGAAGGAATTGGAATCAGGTGCTACGAATAATTTATGATTAATCAAGTTGGAGGCTGGAAGGGGCCGCTTCCCCTGGGGAGTATGATGCCTGAAAAAAATACAGGCGCTGGAAAAATGTAAGAGGGAAAAAGAACGGCTGCAGGAAAGGCAGCCAAGCGTGTCTGCATCGGTGCCCATGCCAGATTTCCTGGAGGAAGTCCAGTCCAGCGTTCTCTAAACTCCAGGCCTCAACTGAGTATCTCAAAAGAAAACAAATATCCAAACATCAGCGTGTCCAAGACTGAATTCATCATTCTCATGAAAGTAGTCTCTTCCAGTGGTGACTAATACTCCCACCAGATGCCGGAGCCAGGAACATAAGAGCCACCATACCTTCTTCCTCATCACTACATCTAGCTCATCACCAAGTCTCTGAATCCGTCCACTCTCTTCACCTCCATTGCCACCATCCTAATCCAAGTCACTATCAGCAATTCCCCGGAGCTTTGCAACAATCACGTTTGGCTTCCCTGCATCCGTTTGTATTTCTCTCCACACTATTAGTTCACAGTGCAGGTCGGGTGGCCTTTTCAAACCCAAATCTGCTCATGTTCAAAACTTGCTTCCCACTGCTCTTAGAATAGGGAAGACTTTGAGCTTGAATAGGCTGTGCACACCCCACCTCGAGACTGCTGCACTTGCTGTTCCACCTCCGGCCCCTTGTCACCCCTCTCTCTCGGCTTAACTGTCACTTGCCAATTAGGTCAGGTCCCTCTGCTGCAAGCCCGTAGAGAGCTGTGCGCCTGTCCTTCAGGGCACTTTTTCTCCACCTACAGACAGACCTGTGCGAACACGGAGCCACTATTTCCCGCAGCATAACGCCTGGCACACGGTAAGTGCGCAATTCGCAGCTGTTGAGCGGCTAAATGTATGCATAAGCTCAAAGCAGAGTGGCCGATAACAAACACGGACGCGGTCCGGGGAGAACACACACGCAGCCGGTGCCGCACCACCAGTCCGCGCCGCCGGGACAGCGGCGGTGTCTCCGGCCAGCAGCTCCGCCCCTGGGCCCCGCCCCTCCCTGTTGCGCGGAGGGGGCGGGGCTCAGACGTCGCGTGACGTAACAGCAGCCAGTCGGTGATTGGGCCTCCGGGCCAGCCGGCACGGGAAGGGGGCGTATCCCCGCGCGCTGATTGGCTGTCGGGCGAGGCTGGGCGGGCGGTGGCGGCGCGCGGGGGCGGGCGCCGGGAGGGGCCGGACCGGGTAGGGCCGGGAGGGCGGCGGCGGTGGCGGCGGCGGCGGCGGAGCTGGCAGCATGGGTCCTCGCCGCCGGCTTCGCTGAGACGCGCTCGCCTGGGCTGCCCGCCCGGCCCGCTGCGGTCGCGGCGGCATGAAGGGCGCTGTGGGGAGCCCCGTGGCCGCCGCCGGCGCCGTGATGCAGGAGAGTTTCGGCTGCGTGGTGGCCAACCGCTTCCATCAGCTGCTGGACGACGAGTCGGACCCGTTCGACATCCTGCGCGAGGCCGAGCACCGGCGCCAGCAGCAGCTGCAGCGCAAGAGGCGCGACGAGGCGGCGGCGGCGGCGGCGGCCGGGGCTGGTCCCCGCGGCGGCAGGAGCCCGGCCGGGCCCTCGGGCCACCGAGCCGGCGCGGGCGGCCGGAGGGAGTCGCAGAAGGAGCGCAAGACCCTCCCGGCGCCCGGCGCGCAGGGGCCCGACGGCCCTGGGGGCGGCCTGCAGGCGCCGGGTACGCGGGGGGAACGGGGGCGCGGGCCAGGGCGCGTCCCGCTGTGAGGCTGGGGTCCCGGGGCCGGTTCCCGGAGGCGGGGCCGGGGAAGAGCCGGGAGAGTTGAGGGTCCTGGTGGCCGCCGAAGGTAGGAGAGGGGCGGGGGTTACACCCCTTCCAGCCGTCAGCAGCCGGATGCGGGGCTCCGGGGGAAGTGCAGGCTTCGGGTGGGGTGGGGTGGGGTGGAGCCCCCAACCCTGGTACTGAGCCTTTACGGCAAGTTGGACAAAGTTGAGGGAGGTTGCTGGGGTGGCGTGTGGGGGCGAACGCTGAGGCCGCTACCCCGGGGCGCCCACATCCAAGCTGGCGGGGACCTTCTGCATCCTCCAGCCCAGCCTCTGCAGGATTGATGTCGGAGCCACCCGAGAGCGCGGTGGGGAAGAGGAGGGCGCCCGGCCCCGGGGCTGGGGGGTCTCTGTGATGCAGGAGGCCTGGGCGACCTCGGAGCGGCCTGTGACGTCCGGGCCCGGGCGGGGCGGGCGGGGTCCCTGGCGCGGTCCGACCTGGCGCCTTCGCCCCTTCCCCGGCCGGTAGCGTCCAGCAGGCAGCGGGCATCGTATTTCAGTACTTCGTGTGGTGTTGATGGGATGTGGAACTTATAAATAACTTAAGGCCGCTTTAAGAAAAGCGGTTTTAACCTTTCCATTAAGAATATTCAGAGTTCCCCACTCGCTGTTGAGCAAGCAAAACCAGTGCGCAGCGTGGTGTCCTGCTGCCTGCGGTCGGGGAGGGTGCTTGAGAGTTCATTCTCTCACCTGAACTGCGTCAGTGGCAGAGCCGGCAACACTGCACCTGTGTTTCCTCTGTTTTCTTTAAATGAGACAGCGGTCCCAAGGTTTGCAGAGTGTTTACGATTAAGATATGTAGTTTGACCTCTCCTGCCAACGTTTGGCAGTGTGTTCAACTTGGTTTTATTGGTTTGTTCCTTGTTTGATCACGATTGTGCATCGCAGCTTTGTGGAAAGCTCTCAGGTTTAAGTATTCAGGCTTTGATGTGCAGCTGGATCATGTTGACCTTTATTTGTGAAAAGTTAAATCCAGAGTCATCACTCGAGAATCAAATCACTACAATAAAGATGTTGAAAATGATTTAAAAAAATGTTATTGACTATCTCAGGACTCTTTGGTAGGCCAGTAAATTTCTGAGCCTATCTAAACTGTGAGACTGGAGATACATTGTGCATTTTACATCCTGTTTTTAATGTTTTTCTCTTAAACGTATTTACATGAATATCATAAAAGAACTGAGGATGGCTAAGTTTTTCTTCTCCATTTGTTTTTTAACGAATGAAAATACGTCTTCTATTCCGAAAAACGTGAGACGAGTTAGTACTGTTAATAACATTGATTTTTAGCCTTTTTAAAATTGTCATGCATTTTTGTGATAAAAATTTTAAGCAGTTCCAAAATGCATAAGGTTAAGTGAAAATCCTCTTATTTTTCCTGCTAACACTTTGCATTTATATATATAAATGCACAGGGCTATTTCTTTTCTTTCTAAACTTAAATGATACAAACTGGGTTGCAACCTGTTTCCTGCACTTGCTGTTGTCATGTGGTACACTCATAACTTTTTTTCTGTCAGTTGTTCCGTCTAAGTGATCTGGCTTTTGAAATCAACTACAGATATTTAGTTGATTTTGTAGTTAGAATGGAAATTTTATCATTGAAGTTCTTTTTCAAGTA